GCCTCCCAAAGTGCTGGGATTACAGGCATGAACCACCACACCTAGCCTCCACCCATTTTTAAATTGGGTTGTCTTTTGATTGTTGAGTTGTAAGACATCTTTATACATTCTGAATATAAGACACTTCTCAGACATGATTTGCAAATAGTAGGTTATCTTAATACTTTATTCATAGTGCCCTTTAATGCACAAAATATTTAGATTTTGACGAAGTTCCAATTATTTTTTGTTGTTGATTGTTTGTACTTTAGGTGTAATGTCTCAGAAACCGTTGCCTAGTCCAGGGTCATGAAGATTTACATCATTGTTTTCTTCTGAGAGTTTTGTAGTTTTAGCTCTTATTTTAGGTCTTTTATCCATGTTAAATTAATGGTTTTGTTTTTTGTTTTAGAGACAGGGTCTTGCTCTGTTGCCCAGACTGGAGTGCAGTGATGTGATCATGGCTCACTGCAGCCTTGCTCTCCTTGTGCTCAAGCAATCCTCCCACTGCAGCCCTGCAAGTAGCTGAGACTATGGGGTCATGCCACCACACATGGCTGATTTTTATTTTTTTGTAGAGATGGGATCAAGTTAATTTTTAATATGATATGAAGTGGGCTAAATTTATTTTTCATGGTGATATAAATTTGTTGCAATACCATTTATTGAAAAGGCTATTCTAACCTATTGAATTTTCTTAGGATCTTTGTCAAAAATCAATTGACTATAGAAGTGTGGGGCTATTTTCTCTGGGCTTTCAACTCTACTGCAGTGATCTATATGTCTCTTCTTAGGTCTGTACTACAACGTCTTTGTTATTGTACCTTTGTGATAAATTTTGAAATAGGGAAGTATGAGACTTTCAAACTTTATTCTTCTTCAATATTGCTTTTGGCTTTTCTGGGTCCCTTTCATTTCCATATGAAGTTTGGGATTAGCTTGTCAATTTCTGCAAAGAAAGGCAGTTGGAATTTTGATAGGAATTACATTGAAACTGTAGATCAGTTTGGAAAGTATTGACTTAAAAAAATTTTAAGTTTTCTTTTTTTTTTTTTGAGACGGAGTTTCACTCATGTTACCCAGGCTGGAGCGCAATGGTGCGATCTCAGTTCACCGCAACCTCCGCCTCCTGGGTTCAGGCAATTCTCCTGCCTCAGCCTCCTGAGTAGCTGGGATTACAGGCACACACCACCATGCCCAGCTAATGTTTTGTATTTTCAGTAGAGACGGGGTTTCACCATGTTGACCAGGATGGTCTCGATCTCTTGACCTCGTGATCCACCCGCCTCGGCCTCCCAAAGTGCTGGGATTACAGGCTTGAGCCACCGCGCCCGGCAAATTAAAAAAAAAAATTAAGTTTTCTAATACCTGAATACCAGATGTCGTTCCATTTATTTAGGTATGGTTTTAACAATGTTTTGTAGTTTCTAGTGTACAAGACTTATACTTATTTTGTTGAATTTGTTTCTCAGTATTTTATTATTTTTGATACTATTACAAATGAAATATTTTCATTTTTGCATTTATATTAAAGCATGTAGAAATACAACTAATTTTAGTAATTTGATCTTGATTCTTACAACCTGGCTGAGCTCATTTAATGGCCTTAATAGTTTTTTTTTTTTACTTGATAAAATTATAACTTGTATTCTCATGGCCTTAATAGTTTTTTAGTGGATTTATTTGAATTATCTATATACAAGATCATGTCGGCCGGGCATGGTGGCTCACGCCTGTAATCCAAGCACTTTGGAGGCCAAGGCGGGCCGATCACCTGAGGCTGGGAGTTCAAGACCAGCCTGGCCAACATGGTGAAACCCCGTCTTTATATTTAAAAAAAAAAAAAAATGTCATTTTGTGAATAGAGATATTTTTACTTCTTCCTTTTCAATCTGAATGTCTTTTATATCATTTTCTTGACTAATTATCCTGGCTGGAGCCTCCAGTACAATGGTAAATGGAAATGAGGAGAGTGAACATCCCTTTATTGTTCCTGAACTCAGGGAGAAAGCTTTCAGTCTTTTAATAGTGAGTGTAATATCAGCTGTTGGGCTTTGGTAGATGCTGTTTATAGGTTTAAGAAATTTTCTTCTATTTGTTTGTTTGTTTATTTTTGATACAGGGTCTCAATTTGTTGCCCAGGCTGGAGTGCAGTGTCACGATCATGGCTCACTGAAGCCTTGACCTCCTGGGCTCAAGTGATCCTCCCACCTCAGCTTCCCAGGTAGCTGGAACTACAGGCATGTGCCACTAGGCCTGGCTAATCTTTAAAATTTTTTGTTGAGATGGGGTCTCATTAGGTTGCCCAGGCTGGTCTTGAACTGAAATGATCCTTCTGCCTTGGCCTCCCAAAGTGCTGGGAGTGCTGCTCCCGGCCCAGTTTCGTTTCTTTTCTTCTTCTTCTTCTTCTGTCTTCTTTCTTATTTATTTTCTTCTTTTTTCTTTCTTTTTCTTGGTGGAGTCTCACTTTGTGTAGTGATGCAATCTTGGCTCACTGCAACCTCTGCCTCCCAGGTTCATGCAATCTTCCCACCTCAGCCTCCCAAGTAGCTGAGATTACAAGAGTGCACCACCACGCCCAGCCAATTTTTGTATTTTTAGTAGAAATGAGGTTTCGCCATATTTCCTGCTTTTCTCAGTTTGGAGATGTGGGTTCTAGGCTTCCTTTGCTTCTAATTACTGAGTCATACAACTTAATCTAATTGGCTAAGCCAATCTGTGCCTTTGTTTTAATTTATGTAAAAAGGAAGTAATAGTACTTACTCTACTTTCCTTATAAGAGTAATGGGGAGATAAAATGAGAATTTCAGCTTCCTGGATGTTAACTAAAAGGTAGAGTCTGCTAACTTTAAACACAACCTGGCAATTATAAAGCAATAATAATTGATGTTCAGGAAAATAAACCCAGGTATTGAAGGATTTTAAAATCTCCCAGAGAGTAGTTAAGTTATATTTTCCTCATTCATAAATGAGTATCTCCTATATATCAAACCTGCGCCCAGCACTGGGACAAAGTAGACATTTTCTCAGCCATCTCAGAGAGTAAACTACGATCAAAATTTTTTTTCTTCAAAGCATGATATAGGCTAAATATTTTTTAAAATAAAAATTTTTTAAAAATCTTTAAAAAAAAAAAGAAATGAGGTTTCACTAGGCTGGTCTTGAACTCCGGACCTCAAGTGATCCACCTGTCTTAGCCTCCCAAAGTGCTGAGATTATGGGTGTGAGCCATGGCACCCCCAGGTTTCCTTTTATTCTTTGTTTGCTGAGTGCTTTTGTTGTGAAAGGATATTGAATTTTGTGAAATGGTTTTTCTATGTCTATTGACGTGATAATTTGGTTTTGTCCTTTATTAATATGATGTATTATATTATTATTATTATTTTCTGAGACAGTCCCTCTTACTCTGTCACCCAGGCTGGAGTGCTGTGGTGTGATATCGGCTCACTGCAACCTCCGCCTCCTGGATTCAAGCAATTCTTCTGCCTTAGCCTCCTGAGTAGCTGATACTACAGGCACAACGCCACCACGCCTGGCTAATCTTTGCATTTTTAGTAGAGATGGGGTTTCACCATGTTTGTCAGGATGGTCTTGATCTGACCTTGTTATCTACCTGCCTTGGCCTCCCAAAGTGCTGGGATTATAGGCATGAGCCACCATGCCCGGCCCCACATTAATTGATTATTGTATGTTGACTCAACATTACATTCCTGGGATAAATCCCACTTAGTCATAGCATGTAGTACTGTTTATATATGGCTGGATTTGATTTGCTAGTTTTTTGTTGAGAAATTACTATGTCTATATTCATAAGTAATATTGATCTGTAGTTTTCTTTGCTTGTGATTATTTTGTCTGGTTTTAGTATTGAAGTAATGTTGGCCTCATAGAATTAGTTAGGAACTGCTCCCCCCTCTTCTGTTTTTGGAAGAGTTTGTGAAGGCTGGCATCAGTTCTTCTTTAACTGTTTTGCAGAATTCATCAGTGAAGCCATCTGGTTCTAGACTTTTAATTGTGGGAAGGTTTTTCAAAATAACTAATTCAATCTCTTTAGTTGTTATATGTTTATTTACATTTTCTCCTTTTTCTTGAGTCAGTTTTGGTAGTTTGTGTCTTTCTAGGATTTTTTTTTTCATTTTATTTTTTGTAATTTGATGATTTTGTAGTTTTAATTGACAGTTTATAATTGTAAATATTTACAGGGTATAATTTGATGTTTCAATATATATATTATATATACTGATCAAATCAGGGTGTTTATCATATCCATCATGTCATGCATTTAATCATTTCTTTGTGGTGAGAACATTCAAAAGTCTCTCTTCTAACTATTTTGCAATATGCAATACCTTATTGTTAACCATTATCACCCTACTATACAATAGAACACTAGAAATTATTCCTCCTAATTGTAACTTTATATCCATTGACCAATCTCCTTTTTCTCCCTTCTCCTCTTCCCTTGCTTTCTCAATCTCTGGTAACCATCATTCTACTCTATGCTTCTATGGTATCTTTTTTTTTTTTTTTTAATGAGGTATAAGTGAATTTTTATTGGGAAGGGAGATTGTCAACTTAAACAGCAGCAAATAGAGTGAATAAGGAAACTCCCTGTTGCCACATATATACATGACCTCCTTATTTGATATAGGAGGCATTTCAATTTGTGACCCCTAGCCAGAGATGGCAAATACTTTTCCATTCAATCTAATACTTAACGGATTCCTACTAAAAAGGAATACATTAAGAGCATGGAAAAGTTGCTTACTGAAAGGAAATCCCTGAAGAGTAAGGGAGGGAATGTAGAAATTAAGAAGTTATGTAGAACATTCTTTAAATGGTAATTAACTACATTTTCATATCTTCACAGTAATACAAAACACAGTCACTTGCAGAACTGGTTCAGATTACATAAATACCAGATACATTTTTAGTACTCTACATAAGTGTTTGGAACTTATGTTTATATGAAATGAAGCTATTAGTACTTTTCTACAGCAGTAACTGTACACCAGGAAGGCCAAGACAAACATGAATCAAGGAATGAAGTTTTCCCAAAGCTTCAGTGTGAAAAGACTGTAAACAGTTGATTCCATACACATGAATGGGTTTCTTTGCTATCGGAAATCCAAGGGGAATAAGGAATGGAGGTGTGTAAAAAAGTTTCTTGAAGGAAAGGATGACACCCCATATGGATTTAGTTTTCAGTCCCTTCTGCCGCATCACATTCGTCTCCTGCACTGTTTGATGTCCAAAGTGTTAGTTAGGTTGTCTCTAAGCAACTGCATGATGGGGGTGCTGTCTTTGTATGAGTCTTCATTCAGTGTATCAAGTTCAGCTATGGCCTTATCAAAAGCCACTTTAGCCAGCATGCAGGCAAGCTCTGGGTTATTAAGAATCTCATGGTAAAATACAGGGAAGTTAAGAGCAAGCCCCAGGTGATTTGGGTGTGTGGGTTGCATCTCTTTGTTGCTTCTATGAAATGCCTCTTGGTAAGCTCCTTGGGAATTATCTATCGTTTGTTTTCGGTCATCACCACATGCAACTTCAGCAAGGCACCGGAAGTAATCACCCTTCATTTTCAGATAGAAGAGCTTATTCTCTGGATTAGTTGCATTGGCTATTAAATATTTATCCAACAATTCCACGACCGTGGTGCAGATGGATCTCAGCTCAGATTTTACTTTCTGCCAATAGTCCTTAATCAGCTGCAACTTATTGTCAGAGGTGTTGGTCTTCTGCTCCATGCTCGAGATGACCCTCCATGCGGACCTGCGACACCTGACCACGTTCCTGTATGCCATGGAAAGCAGGTTGTGCTCCTCGTTGGACAGTTCAGCGCCCTGCTTGGTCATGGCCTTCATGCAGGTGGCCATGTTTTCGCAGTTTGTCCTGCTCCGCCAGCTTGGCCTTCTGGATCAGCTCGTCTTCTCCTTGGCAGGCGCAGGGTGAACCGGCGCAGAGGGCGGAGGAGAGCTAGGGCGAGCTGCCAACCTGGAGCGGGAGGAGCCTCGAGAGCTGCTGAGGGGCGGGGCGCTGAGGCCAGAACAAAAAGCAGGGAGGGAGTGCGGTCAGACCAAGGGGCCCGCCGTCCTGCTATTGTCTCCTGAATTTCCCTCTTCCCCCGCCCCTGCCCGGCTGGGGCGCCTGGGGAGGCCGCGGCTTGCGGAGCGAGGGAGCCTGGAGGGGGCCGGGGCGCTGCGGAGGGCCGGCGCTGGGAGCCGGAGCCCCGGCCGCTCCCTCCACCCCCGTCCGGCCAGCCAAAGATAGAAGCGAACTTTTGATATCAGCTTTTTAAAAAAGTGGATTCCACATATGAGGGAGATCATGTGTTATTTCTCTTTCTGTGTCTGGCTTATTTCACTTAACGTGATGTCCTCAAGGCTAGTGCATGTTGTTGCACATGACAGGTTTTCATTCTTTTTTATAGCTGGATAGTATTCCATTATGTGTGTTTTATGTATATACACACACACATCACACACATACACCACGTGTGTGTGTATATATATATCTCACACGTACACCACGTGTGTGTAGTGTGTGTGTATTCATGCATTGTATATATATATATATATATACACACCACATTTCTTTATCCATTGTTGGACATTAGGTTGACTCCATATGTTGGTTATTATAAATAAACATGGGAGTGCAGAGATCTCTTCAACATATTGTTTTTATTTCTTTTGAATAATACCCGGTAGTGGGACTTCTGGCTCTTATGGCAGTTCTATTTTTAATATTTTGAACAACCTCCATACTATTTTCTATAATGGCTGTACTGATTTACAATCCCACCAACAGTATATAAGGGTTTTCCTTTCTCTATATCCTTGCCAACTATCATTTTGTTTTGTCTTTTGATAATAGCTATTCTAACTGGAGTGAAGTGATATTTCATTGGGGTTTTCATTTGCATTTCCTTGATGATTAGTGATGTTGAGCATTTTTTCATATATAAGTTGGCCATTTGTATGTCTTCTTTTGAAAAATGCCTGTTAAGGTCTTTTGCCTATTTTTTAATTGGGTTGTTTGATTTTTTTTTGCTCTTGAGTTGTTTAAGTTTCTTAGTGTTCTAGATATTAATCCTTTGTCAGATGTATAGCAAGGACTGTTGGCATCTGTGGTGGCAATGGGGACTGGTGGGAGTCTCTAGTTTA